GCATGGCTGCCATTTTTAAAGATGGTGGCCAAAAGCCAACATTTGAAAAGTGACCCCCAGGCTAAATTTCATCCTAAGCAACTCAAAAATTATTTCTAGTCACAAAAAGGTCCCCTAAAAAAAGCATGAACTCTATCTCATGCATATATAGATATAGATATATATCCTCTGAAATATTTGGAGACTTCTGCAGAGCAGCAAGGTGTGTGTCCAGTCTCCTTTTGAAGATCTCCAAAGTAGGCGCCTGCACCACCACCACTGGGAATCTATTCCAGAGTCTGGTCACAAGGACCACGAAGACATTTTTCCTTTAGTATTAACTCCCCCCCCCCCCGAGTGCTTAACTTTGCAGCCTTGAACATCCTCTTTTTAGTGTAGCTTGGTGTATAATTTCATAGATTTTTATTTTGGGGGGAAAATGAAAAAAAACAATACATTTCACACGGTATCTAACCTAAGTCTCTTGCGTCCTACCCTTCTTGCATGTCAGAGCACTGAGTAGTGTTCACTCAGAGCATTCACTGGGAGTAAGAGCCACTTCTCCAGACCATGCAGTAGCCTTTCATGCTGTAATCGTACTGTTAAGGACCTGTAGTGTTTTGCCACATTCATATCTACTCCAACTCTAACCCTGCTTTGTCATCTGTAGCTCTCTTATAAGTCTGTAGGCTTGTTTACACACAGGTACAAGTTAAGAGTGTAACAGCTGCTGTGCGCTCCCCATCAGCAGTTCACTCTTGAAATCATTCCAAGTGAACATTTGTCTATGCCAGTCTCTCTACCCTAGTAACCTACTTGCCAGATCCATCTCATTTCTCCCTCATCCACACTTTACTCCATCATTCTGTGTCCTGTTTTCCATGTCCACCAACTACCAGTGTCTGCTGCTGCCTCCTAAGTCCCAGCTCCTGATCAAATCTCAGAATTTCCTTCCAGTCGAGGCCTCATTGTCCATCATGCCTTTCCTCCCCACAGTTCCCAGTCATAGTCTCCTTGACCAGCCAGTCCTAGTATACCCTTCCAGTCCCACTCTCTCCAGACAGGTTGCACTGAGCTAAATATTGTTCTCTTCCACCTCTGCATTTGAATGAAATCGCTTCCTCACTCAGGCTGTGTGGGTGGCTGCAAGGAGCACAGGAGAAGCTGGGCTCATTGCTTTCAATTCTGGTGCCTGGTTCAGAGCAGTTGGAAGCAAACATTATAGCCAAGATGGCTGAGCCTCTCTGGACTGGAACATATTTAGTCCTTCTGTAGGACTGGCACATGAACAGCCAGTCAGCTGCAGAAGCTGTAATGGGGTCACATAAGTCCAGTGAAAATAGAATCTCCAGCAATTTTTGCTGCAAAAAAATGGAAGAAGCCTCTATGGAACTTGTGCCAACAGTAATTTATTTTCAAAAACTTGGTCAAGTTTGGACAAATTCTCACAAACCTAGCAAAAGGCATACCCCCAACACACAGAACACACCCTTCCCCCTTCCTCCACCCCCTGGCAAAAACAAAAAAACCCCAAAAAATGAAGTCTCTGTTCCAAACTAGAAGAAAGGAGCATTACAGCTTTTCAAAATAATTGCCTCAAGAGTTTTTTCTAACTCTGGCAAGACAATATGCCTTTCTTCCCTGCCCCCCCACCATTTCCCCTTAGCCTCATTCTCATAAGTGACCAAGACTTTTAGCTGAAATTTTACAAAATAATAATTCAGATACTCGGCATGGAAAATTACAGCCCAAACAGTTAACATCTGGTAAAGCTCCAGGGTAATAAATAGGGTTTAAAAAGGGAAGCATTTGGCAGCCTTAATAGTTGGTGCTGTCAGCTCTACTTACATACACTTGGATTTTTAAGTAGACAAAAGCGCACACAGATATAGATAGCTAGATAAGTATATGTGTATGTACGCACATGAACACACACACATAGACATGTCCATTTCTAAAATTTATATAAAAGCTAGAGACATGGATTTACTGACATAGAACAAATCCCTTAGGATAATGGTGCTCTTTCCCACAGGCCAGATGAGTGGTCAGGGCCAGTCTACAGGCCAGATCCCACGCAGGACTGGGTCCTGCATGCCTGGATCAGGTCCCACTCTGTTTTGGCCTGGGCGTATGCACCCAGCTTGGTCCCTACATCACCTTTGTCCTGCATGCCCACTCTGGTATGCAGGACCACAGTCTCCGGTCTGCAGGAGCTCCCCACGGGTCCAGAAATTTTAATCGGCAGAGAAGCAGCAATTAACACTGCCACTACTTCCCTGCTGTCAAACTTTCAAACTGGTGGGGCCAGTTTGAAAAGTTGGGGAGCCCTGCAGAGTGGATGACACAGCTTTATGGGCTAAAGGAGACACTTAGAGATTAGCTTGTAACACTATATTTAATGATGTAGTATCAGATTTCTTTGGAGCCTCTGACCCTGTGTTGACTAGTTAGCTGTTTGGCATATTTACTATGGACGTGGGACAAGTAATTCTGCTGGAGCAGCAGCAGAGATCCTTCCCTATTCTCTACCTTGCTTATTTCAGCTGGCAAAAAAGCCTTCCTCCTCCTCCCCACATTGTTCTTCTATTGATGTGTTGCTTTGGGGTACTTTATTTTGGCAGATCAAGGTGGTAATGTTCTTTACCTTCTGTTTTCTGTCGCTGGCTATTTTACTAGGACATCTGTAGGTGGGATCTAGCATACTCTGCTCACTTGTTGCAGATTAATCCACTCAGTGAAATGTAGTTAATATTCTTTCAGAAGAAAAGTTCATTGTTAGGTCACAAGAATTTGTTTGTTAGTGCATCAACATCCAAAGTGTGGAGTATGACTTGAATTCAACTACAGATATTAAATACCTTATATTTAGAGCAAGGGTCTCAATGTGGAGGTTCTGGGCTCATTTCCTAGCTGTACAATTGATTTGCTCTATAGAACAGGTCAATTCACTTAATCCTTCTGCATCAAAGTTTCCCCAGCTTTCAGATAGCAATAGCAACAGTTCTTCATCTTTGTAAAGTGCTTTGAGGGAGGTGTGTCTAGTAGTTTGTGGATAAGACATAGAATCAGGAATGCTTTAGTTCTGATATTGGCCCCCTATCATATTCTGGGAAAATCGCCTGAGTTTTTTTTGTAACAGAGGATAATCGTGTTTACTTGCTTAATCCACAGAGAGTTAGTGTGAGGAAGATCTAGCCCAGAGCTGCTCAGCTGGGGTGCTGTGGCGTCCTGGGGTGCTGAAAGAACCTGACATGAGTGCTGCACTACTGCCACCACTCTGTTTTCAAGAGGTATGTCAGAGCTGAGCTGAGAAGCAGCTGTAGCAGGAGGAAGCACCTGCCTTACATTGTGCAGGTGGGCATGCTGCTTCTGCTGCAGCCCTTCCCAGTTCAGCTCCAACACACCACCTGAAAATGGAGCCAGGTCATTCTGCCTGGTAGTGGTGGCATTTCTGAAATTGCCTCATCTGCCCCCATTTTTAGTCAGCACATCAGAGCCAAACCAGGAACAGCTGCAGCAAAAGTGGCGCACCTGCCTTTATAATGTAATGCAGGCAGGCATGCCTTGCTGCTGCAGCCACTTCTCCATTAGGCTCCAATGCGCCTCCTGAAAACAGAAGCATGTAGGACAGTTCCATCTGCCCTGAACGCCTCTGTTTCTGGAAGGCATCATGCCAGGTGAGACTGGAAAGGGCTGTGGAAAGAGCAGGTGCTTCTACCACAGCCACTTCCTGATCTGGCTCTGCTGGAGGCATGCGGTACAGTTCTGCCTGATTGTGGTGGCAGTGACAGTGACTGCACCACGCACCCTGCTGGCCTGCCCTCTCTCCCGTCCTTGACCTCATGTGTCCTTTAGCCCAGTCCCTGCCCTTCTCATCTCTCAGCACTCCCTATGTGCTAGATGTGTAGTCTGGCATTTCCCTGTCACCCAGGTGTCCCCCAGCTCTATCTCTGACAGCCCCAGAGCTGGAGTTTGGGGTGGGGGAAGAACTGTTAGGAAGAACTTGGATCAGTTCCTGATCTCCATCAGTGACCTGGTTCTGTGTGTGGGGAGTCTGTTGTGTGCAAACATGTGCTGGACCAGGCACAGCTAGGGGAACACTTCCTGTCATCAGTCCAAAGGGGTGAATATAATATAATTATCCAATCAATTAATAACACATTTGTTAATAGCAGTATGATGTTTGTATTCAAACATATTCATAATAGTTTTTTTTTTAATGGGGGTGCTGCTAGATTCTGGAAACATTTGGAGTGGTGGTTTGAGTCTAAAAAGTTGAGAACCACTGAACTAGGTGATGTTTTAAAAGTTCTCTGAAGGTGAAAGGTATGTAGGTGCTAAATAATGAGCTGCAGCATTAGGTCCTGGGAGAAAAGACTGTATAGAAATGTAAGCTTATTTATTTGACATTTCTAAGAAAATCACTTGGCTGATAATTTCTTAGGGCTGTACAAATAGATGCATTTCTTTTCACAGAGTTACTTTGTTGAAACAAACTCTTTTGCAGATTCCTCTGTATTTAGTCCAACAAAATCCTCTTCTGCCATTAATTTAAGTGGAACTCAAGATCCGTCCCGGAACAAGAACATAGTGAAACCACTGGCTTTGTCTGTGCAGCTTGTAGGAAAGACTTTTGCTACAGGTAATCATTTACTTTCTAGGAGGGCTAGTGAGCTTGAGAGTTGTCTGTTCAGTAGCTGGGACTAATGGAACCCTTTATCAGGAGGAAAGAAAAAGAGGGCAACACTACACCCCCAACTCTTTCCATGCACTTCCCATTCTGTTGTTACTATCCACATCATGGGTACTATTCTGGCCCTCAGACCTGACAATTTGGTCAGTGAACTTAAAAGAAAACTATTACCTTTCTGCCTGAAAGCCATATGAGATTTGTCCCTGAATAAAAGTGGATTCATTTGTTTTTCTTATGCTTTTTGTTCAGTTAATATTTTTATATTCTACAATTCTTTGGTTTGTTTAAGGATTGTCTAAAGCTGTACTATATTTATTTTATTCAGCTCCCCCGTCACTACGTGCCTCTGATGTTGCTAATGGAAACAGCAGTGGAGGAAGGAATAATGTTATGAGCTCTACACTCTCTCGGCCTATACCTCATTCAACTTCCCCCAGCCCTGGTTGTGCTGCTGGAGACCAGGGTACAGAATGGCTCTGAGTTCTTGCTATTTAATTTTAAACTGCATTTACTGTTGAATCTGAAAAGTATAACTTTGTTTGCTTTTCCACTATAATTACTTTTACAACTCATGATTTGAAATGCTGTAAGTTGCTGGCATGATGGTGGATGATAATGATAGACTCCTTATTATAGCTGTTAGCATTCCTCAGATTAGAATGCAGAATAGAGCACTAATATTAGACCACCTATACCAGTGTAAAAGTAGCTTGTGATTAGAACCCAACCAAGGGTTTAAGCCCCTGAATGGCAATGGGTGTGGGAAGGTATTTTGAATAATGTTTTTCTTTCATTCTTCTCAGCGTCAATGTCCAGTTCTGGACCACCAAAGAAACGACACAGGGGATGGTCTCCTGGGTCACCAGTGCCCCCTCCTGGTTTAGTTGTACCTGTACCTACAATTCGGCCTCTAGCAAGGACAGGTAAGGCTTAACTAATTCTGTACATTTCCTTTTGATTAACGTTTGTACAAATTCTGTGCTTAGCTGGCTCAGTGGCTTAGGAATTTACTATTCCTATTTACTTAGGAATGCTGCTCTGAACAGTTGCACAAAACACTTCATCACTTCCATGAAGAAGTAACTGGCCTTGCTAAGGATGAGGGCCTTAATTTGTTCAACCCTTTACAAGCAGCAGTGATTATTAAGCCCCATGCTCCCTAATTTGAGATGAGACAAAAAGAAGCATAGCAATTAATGGGACAGGAGAAGGTATAATGAGAGTGGTAGTAATAAAAATGCTAGGTTTCAAGGGTAGCTATATGTATGTGCATGTATGTTTACCAATATAGAAGAGTATAGAGGCAGAACAGCTAAGGCATCTCCAAACCTGGGCTGAAGGCAGCCTCAAGTCATCTGAGCAGTAAATGAGTACCTTGGTCATTCAGGCAGGAAGGTCAACATCAGTTGGATGTGGTGGTAACCACAGCACTGCCTTGTATGCCATTGGCTGTGGAAAGTGGTGTGCCTTAACTGTCCTAGCCCACTGGGCCATGAGGTTCTGGCAGACTTTTGACTTTTTGATACAAATGCATAAAATTTCTTTTGCTCCTCAACTTGGAGTTGTTAATTTCAGGCAGGTACCACATGTGGCAGAAACAGCATGCTCAGCTTCCCTACAGGAAAAAAAGGACTTTATATAAACATAATGTTGGCTGCTTTGAATGTCCCGCCAAGTCATCTTCAGCTGGGTGCAATTCTGCCTTGACAGCAAGACGTCTAGTGAATCCCTAGGGCCTTGACAGGGACATGTGATGTTATCCATTGGTGGGATAAGAGGTGGGATTATATACTAAATATACACATTTTTAAGGTAACTACTTGTCACAATAACATTTTTCAGTTTTTGCACTTAGGGGGCTTACAAAGGGGGAGTGGTTTATCTCATTTTAAAGGAAAGAAGCGGAGACAAAGTTAGGCTCAAATTGTCAATAGTAACAAGGATTTTGAGAGCATCAGTTTTTTGGCTTTTCAGTTTGAACCTAAGTTTTAGAGGTGCAAGGTATCTACAACTCCAAAAAGAATCAGTGGGAATGGCTGGGGCTTAGGCCCCAGGGGCAGATCCAAGGGAGTTGTTGTGGTACTGCCCCCTTCTGCTGCTGCCGCCACTGTTTCTGGTTGACTGGGTGCAGGAGGGGCTCCTACACACATGCAGGGAGGCTGCTTCGACATGCCGTAACTACAGCAAGTTGGGGCAGACTCGATTAATCAAGCCTGCTAGAGTGTGGTAATTACTATGCTCCAGCAGACTCCAGTGTCATGTATATCAGCATCCCCACACTGAAAAATGGCAGCAGGGTGCTTCAAAATAAAACTCATTCAATGAGCTTTAGTTCGAAGTGCCTTGCCAGCATTTTTCAGTGCAGGTGTACTGATACGTGAGATGCCATGGGTGCTTTTAATTAGCGCGGCTCTCAGAGCCTTATTAATTAAAGCACCCTGCTCCCAGACCATGTCTATAAATGCCTGAGGAGCCCCCATACTGCTCCTGCCTTGCTCTGTCTGGGGGCTGTGTTAAGCAGCTGCACAAGGTGGCAAGCTCCTCTGGGGACAGCAGCGGTGCCACACAAGTTCCAGCTTCTAGTCCTGCCCACGTTTGTGTGCCTATTCCCTGCCTGGCTTCCTAGTGTCCCCTGCCTACATAGGGGCTCCAGCCATGCCTTGCCCCATCCTTCCATGGTCTGAAGGGCAGTGTGCCACACCCCCTTTTAGTAAATCCTAATCCATCCAAGCCAGCACCTGAAATCAGGGCATGCCTGTCTTTTTGGGCATCCAGAATCAGTGGTCCTTGTTACAGAATTTTTGCTTTTAAAGTTATTTATTTGCTCAGGATCAAACAATATGCCATTAAAAAGTCATCTTAACACTTATATTGCTCTTTACTTGCGTATTACATGCCCTGTGTTGCATAGTTGCATAGATTTTTGGTGGGTCCCTGTTATTTTTGTTCTGCTGTTGAAAGTTCTGAGTTAAGGCTCTAGAAACAAAAACAACTAAAAAAAATACAGTTTATAGCACCTTTCATCAGATGACTGCAAAATCTGTTACTTTAAACAGCTTGTAACATTCCTGTGAGAGAGGCAGCTATGGCCAATACTTAACTGATTACAAAAATTGAGGCACTGTGCTTCCTTCTCCTTTTGAAAAAATGCAGCTGCTTTTTTCACAACTAAAGCCTAGTTTTTGTCTTCATTACTTCAGAACTGTGTGAGATGGTATAGAAATAGCTTTGAGGTTTTGGCCTGTGCTTTGGCTTTTTAATTAACCTGTTGTAGGTGAAAAGTTAGCAAGGTCTCTCCCTTCTTTGTGTTGACAGGTAGCACTGAAAGATGACCTGTATAAATACTTTTAGCCTAGCTTTTGGCTTTGTTAGTGATGCATATTCAAATCTAGGTTTTCATCTCCCTCTTCTATAAACAATACAGTAGTCAGAAAGAAATAAAGTTTTACTTTAGGGATGAGGCAAAGGAAGGATATTTGTTCTTAATTTAAATTCCTTGCAACTATACAAGGAAGTGCAAAAGTATTTTGAATTTTATTGCAGTTAGTGATCTGTGGTAGTGTCCTTATTTGTTCATAAGGCCAAATCACAGTATGAGACTTTTAGTAATGGAAGTTTTTCTTTCTTTATTTTATAGAGCCCCTTTTGTCAGTCCCAGTTCCTCAATCAATGTTAACTGGAATTTTACAGCCTCAACCCATCCCTGCAGGGGAGACTGTAATAGTTCCTGAAAACCTGCTGAATAACTCAGGAGTCAGACCAGTGATTCTGATAGGTAAGCCTCACACTGTGAATAACACTCTGTATCTTGAATAAATAGAATTTTTTGTAGCACTGAAACCTCTGTTTTATGCTGAGCCCATCCATGCAGCATGGGGTCCTTGTGTTTCTTAAGACTGTCAGTGACATCCTGTGTTAATTGTGCAATTCTTATAATGAAAAATAGAGTAATTTGAATAATTGAGTAAGACCCGACATACAAAAGAGTCGACATTTACCCTCAATTTTGGTTTTGTTATAAAGGTTTAAAAAAATCTAAGAATAAACATATTTCTAAGGAATTAAAATAAAAACAAATGGAAAACAAATGTATATTCCTCTGCAGTGTTTGCAACTCTGCAGCTCTGTGCTACTGCATGAGAAACAGAAATGAAAATTTAGTTTGAAGTGACCAGTTAAAAGTAAAACCTGACTAGCTTTTCCCCAGAGTACAGAGTAATAGAAATAAAAATCAGTGAAAATTATAAAACCTAAATCAGAGTTTTAAAACCTTTTACCTGTACAAGGTACATTATTAATAGCCTGTATAAGAATATTACTTTTACTTTAAAAACATGACTTCTAATGTAAATAACTCCTTTTGAGATGTGATGCTCCAGTAAAATTTTAAAATCTAAGATTAGAAATTGGTGTCATTTCAAAAGGCAGTTTCATGGCTGTTCAATTCAGTGCAATCCTTTGTCCTTGTGTAAAGCTCCTTGAGTATAACAGAAACATATATGCCAGTATGATCCCTAGAATGAATTATGAACAAGTAGAGGAAAAGCACTCGCACAAGTCCTTACTTGAGCAAGTAGTCCTTAACATGAGATTTAATGGGCTCCTTACATGAGTAAAGTGTGCAAGGTTAGGATTATAGTTCATTTATATTTTTTCATTTATGGGAAGACAATTTAGAGAAATCCTGGGCCCCAGAATACTATTCTGTAATTTCCAAGACTGCATTTCCTTATTAAAGATGTCAGTGCCTGAAGTCATTTCAATTTAAGTGCAAATTAAGTACAGCCTTCGGGTTCATGGAGAGTTGCCAGGGCCAACCTCTGTTAAGCTAAACGTTAGTGTCCCTGGAAAATAGTGTCCTATTAATAGCACAGAACCAGATATACCAGCATTGATGGGTCTACCAAACACTGCTGAGAATATGTTTTTGAAAGAGAAATGTTCTTTGGAGAAAAGAACTAGTCTCTTCTGTCTGTCATACTTTACCATACAGAAAAGCTTCTGTTAGTAGCTGATGTTTGTGTAATCTGTTCACAAGAGTAGAGTTTAAAAGCAGATAAGAAGTCATATTGATCAAAGCGATACAGCAGCATTTGAAATATCATCTGCTTCAATTCGCACTGCTTTTATCATATTAAGATGGAGGTACCATAGTTGCACAGAGTTTGGATACTACATTATTGGAAATGTGAGTGTTTTGTACCTAAAGGATCATGATAAGAACTGAAGAGATGACTTAAATATTTGTCTGTCAATAACAAAAAAAATTACTCTCCTGGTGGGAGGAAGATAATTGCAGTTGTTTTTGGCTGTTCTGAATTGACACATGCCAATGCTGGTTTGCCCTATATTATATATCTGATTTTCTTTAATTGTAATGTCAAGTCTGGTCATGGTGATGGCCCATGATTTGCTATGTGGCTTCAAGTAGATGTTACAGAATATAGCAGTCACAAGATTTTTGCATAGTAACTTGAGTGCTTTTATTTTTGAAGGTTATGGCACTTTACCCTATTTCTATGGAAATGTTGGGGACATTGTAGTAAGTCCCTTGCTGGTAAATTGTTACAAGAGTCCACAGCTAGAGAACAAGGATTTGGATCTTTTGGGTTTGACTGGCAGTCAGTTACTAACTGTGGAGAACATGATTCTTTTAACTATCCAGTATCTCGTCCGGCTAGGTAAGCCATTTTTCATATTAATTTTAATTGTTACTCATGACTCTCTTTGTTTTTTTTACCTTGTATATCAAAATTAACCCTGCTTTATGTAGGCAGCCAGCATTCTGCTCTCTGTCTGGCTTAAAGAGATTCATAGCTCCATCTAGAGTCAGTGACTTGGCTACTTTGTGAATCAAATTAAAGATGAGTTGAATGTGAAAAGGATAATGCTGTCTCTGCCTTCTCCTGTGATGTTTCACCAGGTTACTTTTGTGACAATCCATACTCACTTTGAAAGACAAATATCTCATTTGTTTAGGATATCAAACCTTCAGATTGATCTTTCTCAGACCATTCCATCTTTTATTCAGTCCCATGACAGATACTTGGAGATGTCACCACTGTTTAGGGGATTAAGTATTTACATGAAAACCAACTCTCTTGTGCAAACTAAAACAAATGATTTAATTCTTGTTCTTGTTAGTTTATTTAATATATACTCCTAAATAGGCTTTTAAGGCAGTCTAGTGATTCTTTTACTTTTTGTTAGAGACCTTCTCCCTAAATTGGTGTCAAATTTAGTGATAATAAATATAAGCATAAACAGTAGTGGCAAGCACATATTAGATGCACTCTCCTCTGTGGTGTAGAATCACCAAAATTTGGAGCAGACCTGCTCTAAACAATTCTAGATACTGTGCGATTTCCCAGTGTACTGGTCTCTCTGATGTGCTACAGTTATTTAGGAGAGGCTGAAATATGCCCAACAGTTTGAATAATCCTTCCACTATTGCCCCACAATTTATAAATGTGATCTGTCTGTTTTAATTTCTGCTTTCAGTTCTGGACTAGGTTCAGTTGTCCGCTAGGGACTGGGCTGAAACTATGAAGTGCTTTTCCTTTACAAGAAATTAGGGTCCAAAGCTGGGCAAAAAAAAAAGGGGGGGGGGCTTCAAAGGAGTACAATACAGTAAGAGGTTGAGAGAACTAAGAATGTTGAGCTTTCAGAAAAGGAGATTAAGGAGGGACATGATAGCAATATTCAAATATCTGAAGGACTGCCATAAAGAAAAGGGAAAACATCTTTTCTCCTTTGTTGCAGAGAGCAGTATGAGACGTGAATATGTTGAATTTGCACATGTAAATCTAAAGTCACCTTCTGTTGAATCTGCTAATGCCAGTGCATGCTTGGTTTTATTTAATGTTCACAATATATTTTGTGCCTGCCAGTCTGGCAGCACACTTGCCCACCATGGGTTTCTGGGAAAACCCTTAAAATGAAGTTGAATACAGTTTCTGCAGTATCTGTTATCTTGTATTCAGGCTGTGAACAAATTCTAAAAAAAAGAAATTAAGGAAGATACCAGTGCTGTTAAAAACATACACAGTAGAGAAAATTATACTAAAGGATCAGTGTTGATAGACTATAACAATAAGCAGCGCCTCTTCAACTTACATGTCATTGAAAGAAGGGAACTGCTCTGTGGGGTTGTGAATGGTTAAGAGATTCCCCTGGACTAGAATTATGCAAAGATGCTGCAGGCACTTTCAGAGACCCCTGCAGAAACTTAAACAACAATTAGAAGGGATGTTACACTAGGCTTCCAAATTGTTCAGGGAAGGCATAGAAACTTAAAAAATTTCCAAGCTAGGATAATGATAGATGAAAACATTTAGGCCAAGTTTCACAAAGCTCATCCAGTTCCTTACATTCTGTGTGCCAAGATAGATGCAGAATTGTAAAGCTTAGAAAGAGTTTCAAAAGTACTTTCAAAAGTAGATCAGAGTGAATGGGGCATACTGTGTACTGCATTCTTTTTCAGTTGTAAAAGAATGTGGTACAGTGTGTGGGGGGACTTTAAGGTTACTGTAAACCCTGTACTGATAATTTCTAAATATCCTCTACCTCAAATTGAAGATACTTTTCCACATTAGCGGGGGGACAGAGATTTTGCAAAATTGCTTTAGTGAAAGTTTACTTAGAGATGGAAGTAGAAGAAGATTCAAATGTTTATTTTAACATAAATACACAGAAAGTGTTATACCAGTATAATAGATTAATGTTTGGCATAACCTCTGTTCCTGCTATATGGCAGTGAGCAATGCATCTAGTATTACAGGGTATTCCAAGAACACATACGTTTTAAGATTACATATATTTTAAGATTAAAGCAGTTCTGGAAGCCCCATAGCCAAAAGGTGCTTCACAACTTAGATATTATCTAGGATTTATGAATTATTTTAGTAGATTTTTACCAAATCCAGCAACTGTACTGTATCCTTTCTGTTGTTTGTTGCAAACGAACCACACATGGGTGTGGTCACAAGTGTCAGAAAACTCTCTCAAAGCAAAATGCTGGTCATATCTGGTGGGGTACTTGTTCACTTTGGCCTATCATTGTCTATCAAGCTAGCATATGATACGTCTTCATATGGCATTGGAGCTGTTATATCACATACCATGACCGTGACCAACCCATAGCATGTCTATCATAATCACTTACAGCAACAGAATGGAATTATGCACAGACAGACAAAAACCTTTAATTCTGGTGTTGGGAGTGAAAACATTTAACCAATACTATATGGGAGAAAGCTTACATTGATTACAGATCACCAATCTTTAGTCTTAGTTGTCAAGGAGTGTCAACTGGGATAAATGCAGCACATATTCAACACTGGTCTTTTCTTAGCTAGTTACACTTATGACATTAAATAAAAAAGAGCAAAGGCACATGGAAATGCTGATGGACTCTTGTTTACCTGTGAAAAGAGCACAGGAGTGACTACCAAACAGAGCACAGAAGCAATAGTTAGAGCCCCACCTTTTGTTGAACCATCAGTTTTGTAACTTATAGTGATGACCAATAGTGCTACACCAGAAAATGGCAATCTTGACCAGCCAGGACCTATTAATGCTGAGCAACCTACATTTGGTGAGGAGACCTTTGAATCTAACATGGAGAAGGCCATGGAGGAAGGAAGGCCATCTCCTCACCTCCTATGAAGGCTACCCCCTTAGCCACTACCCAGGAAAGAAACATAAATAAGAACCTGACACAATAGTCAGCGCAGTACATTGTCAGGGAAGCTATCAGAAAGGTAATGGGCTTTACCCAGAAACTGGAAATGCAAGCTCCCTGCGAATATTGCAGTCTGTGTTATGCTGTAGTCATTTTTAAAAAGAGGGGACAAGATGTGAGACACGTGTTGAATCTGGCGATGTACATCTAAAGTTACTTTTCCTTTAATCTGCTAATGGCAATGAATGTATAGTTTTACTTTAGGTTTACAATATATTCCATGCTTGTCAGTCTGGCAGTACTTTCCCCCACTTGTGGCTGGAGTAATTTATTTATGAATGCCATGGACAAACAACAATTAGAACACACAATAATGGCCTGAAATTGCAGGTTTAGATTGGCTGTCAGATACATCTTTATTGTTAAAACAATGAGGCAGTAGAATACATTGCTTAGAGAAGTTGTGGAATCTCTTTCATTGGAGGTGTTCAAGAAGAGGTTGGATATGCATTGGTCATAGAGGATTTAGGAGCAGCAATGTCTACTGTGTGCTGTACATGCATCTCAGAGATCATGGGAAGAGGTCTGCAGACCAGAGCAGATAATAATTGGACAGGTTATGCTCCGTAGCGGAAGAATGAAGCAGAGTTCCACAGCAAGTTTGGATATGAAGGAAGGTGAAAGGAGCTAGGCTGATATTTACAGAGGGGATAGGATGGGAGAAAAGGGAATCCTGGCTCTCCAGATAGGATACTGGTATGTGATTAGTGGAGACTGGTATTCCTTTCTTTGAGAATCAAATATTATTGTAATAACGTGACAGATATTTCTTGGAGTTTCTGTAGTTTCTCTTGTTGGGTCACAATGAAATATCTTGTGCAATAAATTGGTTACAAACAAATGTGTATATATAAGGGCGCTTCTACATGTGTAGGTAAAGACGCAATGGGATCTAAGTTACGATTCTGGGATTGTGCATTAGCTCCCATTGTGTCTTATTGCAAGGAGCAAGCTCCCATGGGGAACTGAGACAGCTGCTGTGACCTCTGAGCTTTGGGTGTTTTACACGATGGGACCCAGTCACTAGCTGCTGGGGCTGAGAGCCCCCTCAGCTGTGGGACTCCCAGCTCTGGCTGGGCATGGTGCACCCCTGAGGCTGGAAGCCCTGCAGGGGGAGACCCTGTTACATGTGCAAATTAAAGCTTGTATATATGTGTACTGACCACTGCCCTGATCTGCTGGCTTGACCTGTTGTCTTGGGAGGTCTGCTGCTTGCCTAGAGCCCAGATCTGAGATGTCATGGAAGGATTACCGAGACTCATCCAGCCCTCTGACTACTACCTCATGCCAGCAGGGCTTTGGCTTTGACCATGAGATGTTGTTTCAAGAAGAGGGATTTCTAGGAAGAGGTGGGATACACCTGATGAAGAAGGGAAGAAAATCTTTGCAGACAGACTTGCTAATTTAGTGAGGAGGGCATTAAATTAGGTTCACCAGAGGAAGGAGACCAAAACCCTGAGGTAAGTTGGAAAGCAGGGATGACCTGGAGAAAGCACAGCCAGAAGTGGGCAAGAGGAGAGGCCTTCTCATTCTTCTTGAGAAAGCAGGGCAATTGGCTGGTTACCTCAGATGTCTGTACTTGAATGCATGGAGCCTGGGAAATGAGCAGGAAGAATTGGAAGTCCTTGCACAGTCACAGATTCAATTTGATTAACAGAGACTTGGTGGGATGGCTTGCATGACTGGAGCACTGTCAGGAATGAGTATAAACTGTTCAGGAAGGGCAGGCAGAGGAGGAAGAGCTGCTCTTTATGTAAAAGAACTGTGTGATTGCTAAGAGCTCCAGTATGAAACTGGAGATAAGCCTGTTGAAAGTCTCTGGATTAAGGTCAGAGGGGAGAGCAACAAGGGTGATGTTGTGATAAATGTCTGCTATAGAATACTGTACCAGGAGGATAAGATGCATGAGACTTCAACTTACTTAGGGATCTGATGAGC